CCAAATTCGGTATCCACACTCCTGTGATATCGGACCTTGACCGTTTTGTGTCAAAATTTCGCCACACCCCCTTCCGCCCCCGCAAAGGACGAAAATCTGGGGCAACCACAAATTTCAGAGACTATTAAGGCTAGAGTAACCAAATTTGGTATCCACACTTCTGTTAGATCTCACTATAAAACGTATATCTCAGAATTTCGCCCCACCCCCTTCCGCCCCCACAAGGGATGAGAATCTGTTGCATCCACAATATTGAAGATTCGAGAAAACTAAAGACGCAGAATCATAGAGAATGACCATATCTATCAGATTGCTGAGTCTGGATCAGATCAGATAATTTTTATAGCCAACAGGAACAAATCAATTTGCAGTGGCCACGCAGCGCCCGACGTCACGCACAGACTGATTTTCTGTCTCTCTCGCACGCACTCTTTGTCGTTTCGTTTAATGTTAGCGCCGTCTGCTGGAGGAGAGCCATACTGACTTAGTATCGGGTATAACTGTAGAGTTGCGGTGTACGCAGCAACTCACAACGTTCCCTCTCGTTCTAGCTCAATATGCGTGACGAAGAGGGGGATCGGAAAGTGATTGCCAACGTAAAGTGAGTTTGCGATTGACCAATTGCATCTATCAATAATCTGGGGGGATATTATTGTCAGATCAACGTGCGTAAACGAATTGTGTGTGAAAAAGACGGTGAGGATGCCTCAGAGAGAAAGCTTTCAATTATTTGTCCGCGAAAGTGGAAGTGGTCTCCAGGAGTTTAAGTCTCCGGAGAGGATAAGAGGCTGATGACTAGGAGATATAAGCCGATTGCGATCTTTGGGTTTGATTATAAACGCAATGCCTTTCAGAGATTGTTGCGGCATAGGGCCAATCCCTAGCTCAGCTGTTGTTATATTGTCATGGCTATTAAAGTATCCATTCTAAGATCTTGGGTTTATTATATTCTTGGAGTTGTGCGGTAAATGTGTCTTTTCAATACGTATAACATCTGGGCTTACTGTGTTCATGAGTGTTATTAACTCGTGATAGTTATTTATGTAGTAGTTCATGTTGCATCGCACTTTTTAATAGCCATAGAAAATAAATATCCCATATTTGTTTTGGAACGTATTCCCTGACTTTGACTGTGTTCCAGCAGTTGTTCATATTGCTTGGGAGAGTGTAAATTAAAAGTGACTAAGATTACGCCAGTTGGAGTGGAGTTGATTCGCCTTCGATTCTCTTGTTCAATTTGTACATTGAGAAAACTTGTTGGCTCTTCAGTTCGATTACTATTTCGTTTATGAAGCAGGTTTATAAAGCTTGTAGGTTATATCGCACAATCCGTAAGCTTCTCGGTTCTTAAGAATTTTTCGGCGATTTCATTAATCCTAACGAGTAAGAGCAGGGTGAAGCCACGAAGTGTGGATATAGAGATATTTTCTTTGCTTATAAACTTTATAGATTCTTTTTCTACTAGCCAACGCCAACTTGAAAGTTTTTCACCAACCATGGCCCCTGGGCCTCAACATTTTGATACTTTTTTGTATCTCAATTGTGGGGGCTCCTCTCTTGTGGAAGTTCCGGGTGGTCCTGAGCAGGATAATTATAGAAGAAATGATGAAAGCAAGTGTTGAGCGCGGAGACTCCCGGGTGGAGCCCCAAAGAAAGTTCTTCAAAACATCATATGAGGTGTTTTAAATTAGATTGGTTTGTGGGTGTATTACGAAGATGGGAGCATACACTCTAGATAAACGATATGCCTTTTTCTCAAACGCTTTCATCCGGAAATGCCTTAAAATGGATGAAATACACATAAAATATGTATATATCTAACATTCAGTGTTCGGGGTTCGTAAGTGCAGAATCAGATACAGTTGCAGATACAGATACAGATATGCATAGCCATGATATCAGTTTGTCCTCTCTCTTTCTGCCTCTGTCTGCCTCCATCTGTGAACGCTGTTTGCTTTTGGCCACAAACAATAGTGTGGGATGCCTGGCATGGGCATCAATTTGCAGCGTTGGCATTGCTTGATTATGAAATGAATTATTTGCATTGAAGTGCACACAGCAATGTACACACAGCAATGAAGGCACAGGTACAGTGAAGACAGTCTAGGCAGACACTGAACGGGTTTTACTGCTAGACCAAACGCTCGTAGGGGACCATCGTGTGCTGGTTCCATCGTGTATGCCCCCATTGAGAGTGAGCCCTGTTTCCTGCGTAACTTTAATATCATCAGCGACAGCATCGTCATCAGAATGGGAGCTCTGCTAATTATCATTAGCTAAACGCATCACGCGTGTACGCACAGTCAGAGGCACAGGCACAGTCAGAGCCTCCATAGCGGAAACGGAAACGTTGAAAAAGCAATTGGCAAATGGCCTCCTGCTCCGGCTTCTGCTCCTCACCACTGCTCCACCTCCCTGTACTGCTTCGTGCAATTTATTGGCAGCTGCAATTAGCTGGGCGCCAACATCCGTTGGAGCTTGCCAATTGTTTGCGGGTTTCCCGTGACCCCTTTACCCATTATATCGACCCCCCTCTGGGAAGGCTTTGCACCCTTTCCTGGCCTGGTTTTGAAGAGCACATCCACAAGTGTCTCAAACGCTGAAACCGAACGTAACCCATGTCCAAATATTAAGTATGCTACTGATTATCGTTACTCGTAGTGATAGAATCTACACATTGCATAGATAGCTTGGAGGCAAGAGTACACATGTGTCCTGGCAAAGTTGTATATGTTTATATCCTTCCTTAATTTATATCCTTCTTGATCTGTTCTCTTCCTCTGTTTGTGTACCTTTACCGCTCTGTCCCAAGTCTCAACGTCTGAGAAATGAGCAAGAAATTGCTCTTTGTAGCTAATTGCAAGGGAACTTTAATGCACTGCAGCCATTAGCCACACGCCCTCTTTGCACCAGCCCCCTCTTTACCCTCTCTGAGTGATCCTTTTCCAGCCACGCCCACCAGAATGGCTCCACAATTAATTGGTTTCATTTTTTTGGGAATCCTTTCCTGCGCTTCATTTCAATTTGCGCAGAGAGTTCTGTGCTCCTTCTCCCGTCTCCTGCACTCTGGCTCCTCTTTTGGGTGCAATTTTTGGGGGCGGTTTAGGGGGAGTTGTTTATTGCACTTGCAACATCCGCTCTGCAAACGAAGATAAATTGTTACTTTTCAAGTTGTGCTTCTTCGGGTTTCTGTTGCTATTTTTTCGTTTTACCGTTTTTCAGTTACAGTTTTTGGGTTTTGCTGCCAGCAGCTGTTGCTGCCCCCCACTGGCCTCACTGGGGTAGATGGGGTCTTCCCTTGGATATGCTTCTACTTTATGAACGGCAGAAATATCCAGAAGCTAAGCATTAATCCGTTGATTATTCTACCCCCTTCTACCATTATTCCTATTCCGATAGATGGATGCAAGTTGTGGTTGATGCGGCCTGGTAACAGGGAGAAAGGTTCCAATCCCGGCTTCCATTTTGAGATGGAGCAGGCGGCACATGGGTGCCGCACTTCGGCCCCGAAACAACTGATTAAACTCGATCCCTGGAGCGGGGTACATAAAATTAACATGATTTGCCGATTAGCCGACCGCATCGATAAGGCCGGCTTATCGGTGGCATCGAGTGGGCCATTACGATTACGATTACGTGGTGCGTATCGAGAGCACGCACTTCCGCGTGTGCATCAGGCTTGAGTCCAGTTAAATGAAACAAGTGTGATGGATTAATGCATTCCACATACGAGCATGTGCTCATATCTGTGTATTACAATGTGTCGATAAGGCTAACCGATAGGAAGCCGATAACATGCAGCTGTGCTTTGTTGATGCTGTGATGCAACTACTAATCTTTCTTTTTCAGTTGCCGACGTACTGAATGGATCTTAAATTAAGTAGTAGTATATGGAGTGGTGTTAGAAGTGACAGTAGAAATAATAGGTGCAGCAGTATAAGTGGCAATATAAATATAAGTAGCAAGACAAGAGGTTGAGGCAAGAGCAGTAGTGGTAAAATTATAAGTAAAACATCAGTTTGAGTACCAATAGAAGTATCGCACTCTTCGTATTTCGTAGCAGTTTCAGTAGAAGTGCCAGAAGTATGCCGGGAGTATAAGTTTCAATAAAAGTACATGAAGAGGAATTGGTAACATTATCATTATAAGTAGTATAATTAAGGGCTTAGCACTTCGTGTAGTTAGACGTATTAAAAAGCAATAGCTGTTGCAATGACATAGCTGTTCTGCTGTTTAATGGCCAGACAAAGGTCCATACAATTCTCGCGCAATAATATTTTCTAAATTTATTGAACCTAATTTAGCCAATTTACATATAATTTCATTGACTTTGAAGCAAAAACCTATTCAAATGTGCCAAAGTCCATTTTTTTGCTCTTTTTTTTGTCTTTGATTTAATTCTGGGTAAAAGTTCTTCCACAAACTACAAAGCACGGAGAAGGATATATTGTTTATATTTGCCGTATCATATTTTGGTGTATACATATTTAAAAAACCTCACGTTCGATTATTGCTGAAAATAGGTCTGCTTAATCACTTTGCAAATAGGGCAACAAATTTCTAAAAATTTTAATTTATCATTCTTTTTATGAACAATGTATATATATAAATTTCTTTGTCCCTCAATTACTTCAGGGGCATAAAAAATTAGCAACGCCTTGCTTCAAACGTTTAAACTTTTTTTGAGATTTTTTCTCAAAAATGTTTTACTTTTTAAGTGTTTATACATTTCCCTATCCACTTCTCTCTCTTGTTCGGTCTGTTGTTGGGTTGCTGTTGTCGGAGGCCGTATACGGACGCTCTCGGACATTTGTGTGTTGTTTACTCGCCCGATTAGTGGCAGCAGACTGGGACTGGGGCTCTATCTGGCGATAGTGCTGCCTTAATCTCAGACATTGACCGCAGCCACCCCACCCCCTGTGGGTGCCCCCTTCCCCTGGCCACCCCCGTCACTGATAAGATAATGCCCGTTTGGGTCGGAATCGGGGCTGCGGGGCTGTTCGTCGGGATCAGTCATGGAGAGAACGCCGAGCGCATCGCACTTGCTGCTGCTGGCCGTCGTCGCATGGGGTTGCTGCCTGGCTCTGGGATCGGGACAGCTGCCAGAAGTGGATCCGGCGACTGTCAAGGATCTGGAGGAGCTGGGCGCCCACTACCTGCCCGCGGGCTACTCGAAGGCGAATGTGTCGCTGGCGGACTTGCAGCGCCTGCTGCGCGCCAAATGCGAGAAGGCCAACCAGGCGCTCCCCGCCGGCTCCGTGAACGCCACGGCTCTGGGAACGGCCATCGAGCAGGCGGCCGGACAGCTGATGGGCTGCATTGGAGGACTGGCCAATGTCACCGAGATCCTGGACGAGATAGAGAAGGCCAGCCCCAAGGGAGACCTGGACGTGGTCTTCGAGAAGTACTGTCTGCGCCTGCCGCAGGCGAAGACCTGCCTGCGGGAGTTCAATGCCGTGCTGCAGCCGTGTCTCACCCGCGAAGAGCGCTCCCATAATGCCCTTATGCAGCGCATCATGGACAAGCTGCTGGAGTTCGTCTGCTACAAGAACGGCGACCAGATCGCCCTCTTCATCGCCGAACAGGGTCCGGAGTGCCTGCAGGCGAGCCGCGACCACATCGCCACCTGCCTCAACACCACATTCGCCGGCTACCTGCCCCAGGTGGGACAGCTCTCGTCCTCCAACATTGCCGACCTGCTGCCAGAGCTCGTCCTGGGTCCCCGCCAGTGCGTCGACCTCTACGACTTCGAAACCTGCACCGTCCGCCACCTGGAGCGCTGCGAAACCATCACGCCCAGCAACATTGTGGAGTCCATGTTCCGCTACGTCCGCAAGGAGTCCAACTGCCAGCCGGCCATCGAGCGGGTACTCCAGGAGCGGCAGCGGGCCCAGGCCCTTACGGCCCCAGACCCAGCCGCCGGGGGAGCCGCCTCGCTGGTGGCCTGGAGCCTCCTCCTTCTCCTACCGTTGGCGGCCGTCCTATAAAAGGGCGGGCTCTACGTCCCACCCACCGATTCTCCATTCTGCGTGTGTGCCTGCTTTCCTTTATCCTTTCTCTCTCGTTGTTTTTTTTTGTTTTTTGATATTTTATAATTATGTTTAATAAACTTTCCAAAGTCGAGCGTAAGCCGCTTAACGGATTTCCTTGTTAACTCCGGCTGCGGGTCCGTGTCGGTGTCCGGGATCCAGGAAAGTGTTGAGCTGCATAAACACAAGCCTGAAATATGAGATGGGGACGAGTGCGACCAGTGGGAGGTAGGGTTGGGGCTGGGGCTGGGGGTCACTGAGCCGCTCGGACCATATTGCAGGCCGCTTATCGGTCAGCAACAGAAGTAGAAGCTAAAGCAAAAGCAGAGCAGCGGGTCAGTCGTCTCCGGCTGGCTCTTATCGCCAGCAGTGAAACAATGGGGGGAAAATGGAGGAAAACCCAGAGAGAGAGAGAGAGAAAGTAGGAAACAGAATATAAGATAGAGAAAAGCTGGTGCCCTAAGATGAAAGTGAGGTGTGGTCACTGGCCAAATACAGATTTTGTTGCATTGTGGAAGGAACAGGCACAGTTTCAGTAGAGCTGATCATTGTTTTACCTGAACTGTCGGATGAACGAGAATGGGAACAGTTTGAGCTGAACTGTAGAACGATACGAGTAATCTCAGCACTGAGAAAATTAAGGAAATCCTCAACGAAATGCATAAGTAATGATAACCCAAAAATTGTTGGCGCACTTTGTGGGAAAAGTAAACAAAAGTTCTAGTCATTCTCCGGGAATGATAAGCAAATCGGTGGCCATTCCCCATATCCCCAGTCCATTCTCCTACCCCTCCCTCAGCCATTTGCAGTGCGGAGTGCCTCGTCACCCTCGTAAATCATAAAATGTATGAGATGCCCAGAACCGACGGAAGTGGTTGTATTTACAAATACACTTATCGAATGGGAGGCAAATACGGATTAATGGTGCTATCATTCATACAGGAAATAGTGATGCTACATTGCTCCATTGCCGTGGGCTTTAGCTGCGGAAATCTAAAAGCTACTAATAAGTGTACTCACCTTCGCGATCATTCAACAGCACTACCATGAGGATGCATTTCATTCGATCTTTGCATGTCCTTGGGACTGAAGATCGCCCTAAAATCATGGGACCCATTGTGAAGGGCATATCCGAAAAAATGTCATATAAATCTTAGGGAGAACGGACAGCGAAAAAATGAAACCGCAACTGTCATCATTTCACAGACGAGTGCGGCCCAAGCGGAGAAATTCAGAGAGTCCAGAGAGTGGACAACAACAAGGAAGAGAGACCACCTCCAGAGCCCTGTCCTCATTCTCAACCTCATCGTCTCATCCAGATTCGCTTTGTTGGGGGGCCATTTGACAGCAGACGAAGCGTGAAATGAAATGGATGGAGTCTTAGTTCAGCTTTCGTCCTGCATTAGTCCCTCGTTTTCTGCTGGCGAGTGGAGCTGAGACTGCGACTGAGGCTGGGACTGGAGACCTGAAGGATTCGAACGGCTTCTTCCAATCAATATAGTTTCATTGGTGGCTCTGTGGCTCCGTGGCTCAGTGGCCCAGTGGCTCCTTGGCTCCGTTTGGTTAGTTAGCCAGTCAAAGTCTTTGGCTAACAAGTCATAAATGTTACAAACTTAATTAGGACTGCAGTCGCAGACCCGCCTTCTCCTGCCTGATCCTCCTCCCTTCACTCGCTTCCACTTTATTATTGATGTGAAAAATGCGGAAAATGAATGCGTTTCCGGTACTTTTCGCGAGTTGGCAGCTAAATTGCAACGGCCATGAATCATTCCAGTCGGACTGAGAGAGTCGTAGTCGTCCTCGACGTCGTCGTCGTCGTCGTCGTCGCCGTCCGAGTCCAAGTCCAAGTCCAAGTCATAGTTGAGTCCTGCGACTTTTGCAGCTCCCATTCAGCTGCTTGGAGCAGACAAACTTTGTACGTGCCACGCGAGCAATTGGCAAAGTGCTGCCTGCCCCACCGGACAAAAGGCGTGACTCGGGGCGGCCCGGAGCGGTGCAGGAGAGGGGCTCAAAAGTTGGCTGGCAAATAATTGCACGTCATTGGCCAAATTATTGGCCCTCGATGGGGTGCCGGCGATAAGCGAGCCAGAAGGAGGACTGCAAATGCTTTTCGGGGGGTAAAGCCGAACAAAAGGAGACTGAAATGGCCCGGAAGAGCTCGAACCCTCAATGGGTGCTTTCACGACTTCAGAGATCTTTCAATGAGAGGCTCACAACTTTCCCAAACAGAAGTAAATGAAGGAACCTCTGCGGCTTCCACGCTTTGAGGACACCTCCAAAGTATCCTTCCAGAGGATCCTAAAACCAGGAATCTTGAGTCCTTAAAGCTTGCACTTACTCTGGCAGATCTTTGCACTGAACCAAAGAGATAGACCAACACAAGAAAAGTTTCAGGGTTTAAGGAATGCCTACTATTTTTATGCACTTTATTGGGTGGCAGGGTCCATGAAAAGGCAATGAAAATGGAAATTACGTATTTCCATAGGAGGAGGGAGGAGGCAGCGTGAGGGGTGTACCTGCAGTCTGCCAAATTTAATTAAATATTTCAATTTTGTTTCCAGAAAGCTGCCACTGTCATTGCCACAACTATCTCTAATTGTGCACGCATTCTCCACGCTCCATGCTCCATGCTCCATGCCACTTCGTGCCTCTTTCTCAGCGACGACTCCAGGGGGAGTGGGTGTCTTTGGGTAAGGGGCAGAGGTGCCAGAATGGCAGATGGTGGAGCATGCCACCTGAGGCGTCTGCGGCTGCTGGAGAGCCACGCTTTAACGCTCATTTGCAAATGTTTGTCTACTTTGGTGCGGTGTGAAAAGCGTGACGAAACGTGTGGAAGGGTGGGGGGATGGCTTTTCCAGGGGGTGTGGCTGGGGGTAAGTGTGCGTAAGGAAAGGAAAGGTAGGGAACCAATAGCGGTCCACTGGGAAATTGCAGAGAAATGCAGCATCTGGCAGAAGGACCAGAACATCTGGCTGCAGTTCTGTTAGTCGAGGAGGAGTGAAGAGGCAGGAACAGGAGTAGTTTCAGTTCCAGGATATCCCTGACACATTGTACAGGAGGCTAATGGGAGAGGCGCGACACGAGCCCATTAGCCCTCTCCGTCTCCGTGTGCTCTGGTGGAGAAGAATCAAATGGGAAATGCGAAATGAGGCTCATTCGTTTGTTCAATTGATTATCTGTTTCCGCATCGATTCTGGCATTCCATTAATTTCCATCTGCCAATCAATTATCCATTATCTATTTGCAATCAATCGAGCATACTTTTGGCCCAATAATGCTGTTACGATTCCTATCGCTGACAGTCCTCCACACACGCCACGCACTTTCATCGGATTCGGCATTGGGTGTTTTGGGTTTTGTGGTGTCACCACCATTGTGGGTGCCACATAGTCGGAGCGGGAATTCCTCTGCCCTCTGTCCTCTGTCCTCTGTCCTCCAACCCCCTACCCACACGCACACTTCGCACTTTGCCACACTTTGAGGGAGCTTTGTCTGGAGAGATGGAGTCCCGCATTCTCCTCTTCTGTCTGCTCCTCCCTGTCTGTCTGCCGTGTTGGTCTTACGCATGACTGTCTGTGTGGCATGGCTCCTGTGTGCTTGTATGTGTGGGGAAATGGGGAATATGTGGCATCCACAAAGTACGTATACTTTGGGGTCTAATTTGCGGTTGCTGGCGCAGCTCAATTTACAAGTGAGAAATTAAGATGTCGACAAAACTTTGGCCCAAACACCTTGCCGGGGAGAACGAGAATACTGACACACACAGAGGGATGCAGAGATACAGATAGAGGTACACGAACGGGGAGCATAACAACCGCCAAGAAGTCTCAGTGTACCACAAAGTCTGGGAGTCTTGGAGTCCTGGACTGAACTTTGCACTCGTGCAGCACTTTTTCGTGTTCCTCGCAATTCGGTGTTTTCCTGGACACCTGCTCCTTTAAACCCTTGGAGCAGAGTGTTTTTTGGGGATTTTGAGTTGTTGATGCGCTTTTAATTGCATCAAGTTGCACGCCACAAGAAGGAGGCAGCAGCACACGAGCAGCTGTACTTGTTACAGCGGGCACTAGACACTCCAACTTCCGCAACACTTGCAACACACTCTAGCACCTCCGCCACCTTCAATCAGTCAACGCATTCCAGCGTAATGTGAAGCAGATACAAGTGCCATTTCCAGACTCTCGACTAAAGGATTCTCATTACTCGGGTGTGTAATGAAGGGTGTGTCCTGTTCCGGACGACCGATTTTCGAAACAAGAGACTGAACTGAATTCCAAAGGAAGTATCGATGGAAAAGGCACAGAAAAGACCAAGCCCAAAAAGGGAATTGAAGTACCAGAACGCCACTTGCCGGTACAATGATGTATGGAACGAATATTGAACTGGAATTTGTTCCCGATGAAATATCTTGGTATTTTATAGTCTTTGATACAATGCAGTCGGAGGATCTACAATGGGATCTACGGCTTTTGTGATTGCTTCCCTTGGGAGGCTCTTCTTGGATGGATCATGGACCATGGATCGACCTCCCTCCCCCTGCAAAACATATGCATTCTATAAGGGCGAGAAGGTCCCATATACTCCCCATCTTTTTCCAGGGTATGCTTAAAAAAGGACTGCCACAAAAGTTTTCGCATTGTAATGCGCTATGGAAGGAGCAGTAGGGTCATGGCAATGTGGGGAAACTTTCGCTGGGGGATTCCATTCCTCTGGTTCCGCTGGATCATCCTGGCCTCATGCTGGCCTTATCATGGCCTCCTTCTGGCTCGTCCTCACAGCGTAACTAGCCTGATGTGAATTTGATTAAAGCTGCACATTAAATCTGTTGACAGCTGTCCTGTGGGGGAGCTACAGGAAACCGCTGATGACATTAAAGTCACCCTTCGTGCGGTTTTCTAAAAATTATGCAAAGACACTTGACGCTGACGCTGACAGTGGGAGGGGGGGAGGGAGATGTATAAGTGTGTGTGTGTGGATGCCACATACGCAATGTCAGCGATTTTTCGCTGAAAATGGCGAAAACTGTAAACAGACTCGCGTTGCTCTCTCATTGGGTGGTTTTTTTTGTTCCGACGGTTTCCCCATGGCACCACCCACGTCCAACCCTTCGACTAGAAAAACTTTATTAATTGCGACAGTAAAGTTTTCCACCGCAGCAGCAGCAGCAGCCGCACCACCACCACCACCACCATCGCCGACCATCTCCAACCATCGCCAACCATCGCCAACCATCGCCAACCATCGCTAATTCCCCCGTGACAGCTATTAAAATCGTTTGGTGTTTAACTTTTTCGTGGCCCCGAAAAATATTTGATTTCATTTTAGCATATTTAATTGCAGTGCTAAAAAGTGGGGAAATACTAATGAAAGATGGCGAGGGAATGCGGAAAATTCTGATGAAGCATGGGGCAAAATGATGCTGAAAAAAGGAGGTGGAGAAAAAACAGCCCGACTGAATGCGAAAAAGATTTACTTTTTATTTAGTAACCAAACAAGAAACTTGTGATCCAGGGAAGATCAGATTGAAGGTGGATTCTCTGATGATCCTAGAGCTGAGCCTTGCGTCTCTGAGACATTTCCTTGGCCTTCTTCAGGACGTACGTGCACATAAGCAGGTGGGCTGCCCGGCACAGTTCGTACATCTGGCGGTAGAAGCGCTCGTCCTCACCCTCATCATCGGAAGGCTCGTTATCCGCAATGCTTTCTGCCGTGTCCTCAGAAGACTCTTTCTCCGCGTCCTTGCTGGAAGAGTCGTCCCCCTCGAAGTATTTACCGCTGAAATCGGTATACTTTGGGAGGAAGGCCTTCTTCTGCTGGACATTCCACATTCCCGACTCTTCTGCGGATTCTTCTGTAGAGGTCCCTGTGGAGTATTCAGTGTACTCTTTAGAGGGCCCTTCTGGGGAATATGCCAACCCTAGTCGGCGGGCCAGCTTGGACATGTAGTTTTTCGAGGAGCTGCTGCTGGTTCTGGAATGAATATTTATCGAAAATTCTTGCGGATACACCGGCGAAGGTATTGGAGTTATCTTCCACCTGCCCGAGGGAGGGGTGTCGTAGTACGAGTGTTTCTTGAATGGCTTTATTTTGGGAGAGTGCTTCTTCGTGGTCCCATTCCTTAATTTATTAAAGCTTTGCAAAAAGCTGCTGTTCGAGGTGTAGGATTCTGATAGCTCTGGTGAAGCCATGCGGGATGACTGGACCAAGGGGCTCTGGAGTGAGCTGGCATCCTCATAGATCTGCCGATTCTCTCGGTAGACTGGGGCACTACAGGAGATATACTTCTGCTTCGTAGATATACCTCCAACCTCTCTAGCTACATTTGCGGTTTGTTTTTTGCCGAGTTTGTTGTAGATCCTATTGAAACTGCCTGAGCTGCCTGTTTTTTGCGATCCGGATCCCAATGGCTCGTTTTGGTGGTTCAATTTCAAAGTCCAGTAGCCGCCGAACCTGGGCGGGATACCTATCCCGTCAACCGAATTGTTCAGATTCAGATCAGAGCGGTCCGTCCCGCGGACTGTCCTTCTATTAGCCATCGATGAGAGAAGAGTTCCTGGGGGATACAGAAGGGTTGGAATGGCATTGACTGTTACCCATCGATTGTTGCACGATATTTGGTGGCGATCTACCGCATATCCCTTTCTCGATTAACTCGAGAGTGTATCGAGTGTCAATTATAAGCGAGCGGAAAGCAGCGACCGCATGGCAGGCGTCCCATTAGAGGGCCAATCGTCCATCCACAAAGTAGAGTGCGGCACCCTCTCCACTCTCCAAGGGTCAGAGGTTATTTTCGAGTGCTTTAAAACTCGATTTGATTACACGGATGTAATCAGAGCCCCAATCAAATGAAATTATTTACGGTTTAAATGACAATTGTCAATCTCTAATTGTCAATCAATTGGACACGTAAATGGGTGGCTAGTGGGGGGAGGGAGTGTGTGGGAAGAGGTGTGGTTGATACAACAAAGTGGATGGCTGTGGCATGTGTGTCATGCATAATTTGATAGAACTACAGGGAGGACTCTCGACTACGAGACGATTCTGTGGCATGCACTTTTTCTACCCCCTCTCTGGACGGACACCCTGCTCCAGCCGCCAGCTGCCATGCCCCCAAGTATTTGGCAAGAAAATAAACCGAATTTGGTAGCACGCCCAAAGAGTGGGGAAGCGAAGGGTAGGATGGAAGGATGAGTGTCGGATTAGGATGCAGGACAAAGTTTCCAATAGTTGCAATTAAGTGCAACATTTTTGGGGTTTTGTTTGCATGTGCCACACATTCCTTGTGTCACTCTGCCACCCCTTCTTTGTGTGTGTGTGTGTGTGTTTTCGGGTTTGTTCTGTGGATGGCAAAAGTTTGGCTTACTCTTTTGGGTTTGGGTTTGGGCTCGGGTTTGGGTTTGGGGAGCAGAGGCTTAGTTTTTCAATTAGTTTGATGGCGGCGGTCTCATAAATTTTTGCCAAGTGTTTTTGCCCCCCTCCCCCGCAGCATATCCCACAGGGAGAAAAGGCAGAAAGAGAGAGAGAGACAGAGAGGGAGAGAGAAGAAGGGAATACTAGAATTTATTGAAGGCCATCAACCATTCAATCGCTTTTTGGCTGTTTCCCATCCACCATCATCCATTTGCGGATTCGGCTGTGTCACTTGTCACTGGCCCCCCCCACAGGCCCCACCCACAGTCCGCATGTTTCCCCATTCCCTGTTGCATCCAATTCCACTTCCACTTCCTCCGCCATATTCCCACTCCAATCAGAAATCAAATTGACTCTGGCAGTGGCCTTTTGCTTTCTTTCTCCTCGATTCGGGTTGGACTTTTAAAACTTGTCTTACTTTAATTGCTTTTCACTGTTTCTGCGGTCGAATGGCGTCCTCTCCCAGCCACCCCTTATCCCCACCCCCCGCCACCGCTCATTCTGTCCCACTTGACTGGCATTATCAGAGGAGTCACGCCTTTTCGCCTTTCCATTTCCCTCTTTTCTGCAGGTGAAAAATGGAAAATGTGCTCGACGGGGAAAGCCCCCTCTACATATAATTTAAATGAAAACTTAAATAGAGACAGAAAAGGCCAGAGAGCACAGAGAGAGAGAGAGAGAGAGAGAGAGAGACAGAGAACTGGACTCTTAATAAGGAAAATGCATTTGTGCCGAGCTCTTAACCAGAGAAGTGCTCCAAAAGGAGTGCGAATCCACACCAAAAAAAGGAGCAGAGCAGAGCAGAGTGTCTGTGGCATTTGCCAAATAGCTGGCAAAAGAAATAACTCACAAAAGTATTCAAAGACACTCACACACATACACATAACCACACACACACTCACAGTAAAAGCTCTACTGAAAGATCACCGCATAGAGAACCCATGATTGTCCGCCCCAGAGAGCTCTCACTGTGCACCCTACACGTGCACGTGCACGTATGTATATATGAATATATCTCAAGTGCAGCAAGTGACACCTAAGCAGGAGAGCAAGTACAAGAAAAACGAAGAAGGATAGTCTTTGCAGCAGGAGCAGAAGTGGCACATACCCTTGCTGCAGGACTATCCAGCGGTTGGTAAGCTTGAATGTAGGATGATCTTTAAAAACAAACAAGTTGTCTTAAGCAAAATATTGGAAGCACATAGAAAGTGGCAAAAGAATGGACTGCATAGTATGGAAGATGTTTATAAGAGTATAATTCTGTGTATTGCCAAAATTGAGCTAAAAATCAATATACTTCGACTGCCAGGGAAGCAAAAGCAAAAGCAGAGGCAGCAGCAGCTGGCAGGCAGGTAGGCAGGCAGACTGGCAAGCAAAGAAAAGCGAGCAGGCAAATTCTCAGTTTTTCCTGCAGCGGATGATGTGTGGCACTTGTCTCGAGACCAAGGGGCGTGCCTGTCATTTAACAGTTGCTGGAAAAGCCCCAGAAGGAGACCCAGACGGAGAAGGAACAGGAGACGGCGGCTAAGACAGAAACAGGGACACAGTCGGAGTGCTCTGCTCCATCTTACAGTTAAATTATGCGTTAGCCCAGGCTCTCCAGGATGACAGCAGGTGGCAGGAGGCAGGAGGCAGGAGGCAGGGGCCAGCAGACAGGTGGGGCCACCTTGTGCTGACAGCAAAATGATTTAAATATTTGTCATGAACAGCAGTTGCAAGAGTCGCTATACAGACACGGGACAGATGATGGTTATGCTTGGGATCTCTATCCCCATCGCCATTGCCATTGCCATCAACAAAACACCCCACCCCATGCCACCCCATCTCTATCTTTATTTTCATTCCCATCAACATGAACAACCTCATCATCATCATTCTGAATGTTAATTGTTGGCAGAAAACAACTAGAAGAACCACTGTAATAGAGCAGAGCGCAAAACGTGCGGTAATTAGTTTATGGCAGGGACGAGAGAGTGAAGGACTCTTATAATAGAACCAAAAGAAGGGAGAATTTAAGCGCTTCCCCCAAGAGGATACCCTCTGAAAAGGTTACTCTGATTACGGAAAACTTACGACTTGAATATCCAATAGAAAACTTTATAAAAACCAATGCACAATCATTGACAGCCATCAATATTCAAACAAACAAAAGAGGGTAATCTCGTATCATGCTCAAAGGTCCATAGATAGTTAAGATCCATCAACAGGGCAGACTCTCACTCCATCCTATAGAGGTAAGAGGGCCGAGAGAGCACCAGTAGATTCCCTCGAAGGCTGGGACCTCATCAAGCACCGGGGGGTGTTTTGGGGTTGGAGTTGCAACAGCAACATTAGCCCCCGCGATAGGGCAAACAAACAAGTGTGGACCGTGTGGGCCACGGGAACAACAGCCATGAACAAACAACGGAGCGAAATTAGGTTTTTAGCGGAACAACAATGGAAGTGGCAGTGGAAGTGCAGGTGGCGGAGCAGCAGTTGAGGGATACTCGAAGCAGGGCATACCCACAGATATTTGAAGGGCTTTCATCGGAATAGAATTGGATGAATGCGAATCGGAGGTGCGAAGGAAGTCCCCATTCCTGAAAAGAACCCATTATACCCTCGCTATCAGCCGCTCAATGGATATCAACGACAGTTGAGTGAACTCCTGCATTCGCAGGAAACAAAACGAAACGAATCGAATCGAATCGAATCGAAGCCGTGTCTATTCAGTTCAATCAACTCTAATTTGGAAGGCCAATGCTGACCTACAAAGGTAGTCCATGTCCATGTCCATGTGCCTGGCTTCCGATTTGAATATGAAATGCAATCCACTTACCTGTGGTCTCTCCTTAACGTATCGTGTTCCAGCTTGAAAATATATGTGAGAATTTTTGTGTGTTCCAATGTGGGAAACGACGACTTGTGATATGAGTTTTAATGACAAGGGGATTTTGGTTAGGTATTTGTAACCATTCTAACGACCTTACAGATCCCACCTTATGGTAGCCCCAAACTCAACCATCGATTGGGCTATTGCATGTTCTTTATTTATTTGTAACTCTTGAAGGGAACCCTTAACGGAAATCTTTCTATCCTTTTGGGCCTACTTCTTGTTGCTGGAGCCGGCCTCCTCTTTCTTGGGGACGAGCTTGAGGCGCAGCATCTCCTTGTAGAGGGTGGAGCCCATGTGGCAGGGATTTTGGGACACGATGACGCCTGCCTTCTCCAGTGCTTTAACCTTGGCCGGGGCCGTGCCCTTGCCGCCGGCAATGATGGCACCCGCATGGCCCATGCGACGGCCGGGCGGGGCGGTCTGTCCGGCAATGAAGCTGACAACGGGCTTGGCCTTGCAGCCGGAGTTGTGCTGCTTGAGGAACTCGGCGGCGTCCTCCTCGGCACTGCCGCCGATCTCGCCAATGAGGATGATGCCCTTGGTCTCGGGGTCAGACAGGAAGATCTTGAGTCCATCGATGAAATTGGTGCCGTTGAAGGGGTCGCCGCCACAGCCGATGCACAGCGTCTGGCCGAGGCCGGTCTTTGTGGTCTGCTGGACGGCCTCGTAGGTGAGGGTGCCCGAACGGGAGACGATGCCGACGCAGCCGCGCTTGTGGATGTCGCCGGGCATGATGCCAATCTTGCACTGATCGGGGGAGATGATGCCCGGGCAGTTGGGGCCCAGGAGGCGGGACTTCTCCTGGCAGTTCAGCATCTGCATGATGCGAACCATGTCCACCTGCGGTATGCCCTCCGTGATGGCCACGATCAGACCGATCTCGCTCTCGATGGCCGAACGTATGCCATCGGCGGCATTGCTCGGCGGAATGAAGATCACGGTGGCGTCCGGCTTCAACTCTTTCGTCGCCTCCGCGACGCTCTTGAAGACCGGCTTGTCCAGGTGCTTGGTGCCGCCCTTCTTAGGCGACACGCCACCGACCACATTGGTGCCGTACTTCAAGGCCTCCTGCGAGTGGAAGGTGGCCTGCTTGCCGGTGAATCCCTGCACCAGCAGCTTGGTCTCCTTGTTGATCTTCAGATTCTTGGCCGTCTTGCTGTAGTCGGACTTGCCGCGCACCACACGAAGCAGCCGCGCGGGCGCCAACCAGCCGCTTGCTCGCCAATTGGACATGGTCATATCTCGTCTGTGGGGATCACGCGGAGGGGGAGTGGAGCTTGTAGAGTGTTCAGACCACTTTTCTATCGCTCTTTTATCTTTTTATCTGCGCGCTGGCTAACAAAAGAGCTCTCTGTGGTTTTTGTTGGATTTAGAGTAGAACGATCGAAACGAAGACCGAAAATGTTTGTGCTGTCTGTCGGACTACAATTTTTTGACAGGACACACAAAGACAAGTCAGTTTCGAGTGCTACCAACACTGGCGACACACTGGCGTTGTCCAGCACTAGCGGCTGCTTGGCTACATTTTTGAGAAGAGACACTCTTCAGATTTTCTGCTCAACGTATTCGTACAGGCCGCAGGATTGGAAATTACCGATTGAGGAGCATCGAAACAACTTCCCCCTTGGCTTCTTCCTGCTTCCTCCTTTGGCCGAGATGTCAGCATAAATCATTGACCGACCAGCGGCTCTGTACGTGCGGCCTGCACTAAATGACTTCATCGCAAGCAAATAAAATATCAATAACGTCAAAAGTGCAATAAATCATCGATGCCGACCCCTACCCAGACCCCGACCCCGACCCCGACCCCGAACCCGACCCCGACCCCGGCCCAGGCTGCTCCTGTTTCTGCTTCTGCTCTGTTGCTGGCTGTTGCTGGAGAAGTCTGAACAGGGAGGAGCACCTCTTATGGACTCACACTATGGCCCCCGGATTCGTTGACTGACCACCAACCCAGGAACGAAGGAAGGCAAAAAAGAAGAGCAGCACCAGCAGCACCAGCACCAGTCGGAAACATTTCATTTGACGCTGAAATGGAAAATGCAAATTGTTTGCGCGTTGCACAAAAGCATGCAAAAATAGCTCCACATCCACGTGGAGGTGGTCTCTCGCGTCGAGTCCAAGTGCAGGCCAGGAAACGGTAGCAAGAGCAGCAGTCCATTGCTCGGCGAAGTGACCCGGTGGGAAAGCGGCACTCATCGCACACGATCGCATACTGCAATCAGCCGTGCTTCAGCTTCGACTGAAGCTCTGAGCTTTAAATGAAGTCAGGGGTACATGAACTGCTTCATAGATCAATAAAAGAGCAGCAGAAGGGCAGAAGCTCAGGCTAAGAACAGTTCGCCTTCTATTTGTGACACCCAAATTTCCCATTGGGAATATCGCTACCTCCACATTTGCGCTCCATTTGCCATCCATTGGGTGTGCTCTTCTCGACCCGACATTCCTCTCCAGCTCCAACTCCTGCTTCTGCTGCTGCTGCTCGTGCTTCTGCTCTTGTGCCCATCTTTATTTTGTTCATGCTTTCATTTTTGATTGCAAACAAGAAAAATTCACGATTTGGGCGTACATTTGTCCATGTGGTGGACCGGAATATATTGTCTGTACATACAACAGCAATGTACAGTGTACAGTGTACAGTGCACGATACTATATGTATGTACCCCACTTATCCAGATGTACATGGTAGTACGAGTATGTCCGTACATGGGGGAGATATTTGCGCATTTTTTGGTGGCGCTGACAATTTGCATTTATAAATTTCGTTTTCAATTTGAATCTACCCAAAAAACACCACATCCACAGAAAGCGAAAGAGAGAGTGGCAGTGGCAGTGGCAGTGGGAGTGGGAGTGGGAGGAGTGCTCTTTCAGTGATTGTTGATTTTAATTTATTATTGTTTATTGATAAAATGTACGCATAGAATTTGCATAAATCGATAAATAATGCCCCGGCCAGAGGCGAAATTTAGATATTTATTGCATTTGTGGCTCTGGCTCTGTCCCTCCACTCCACTCCACTCCACTCCACTCAACTCCACTTCCCGATTCGTTTTGCATTTGCTTTTGCTTTTGCTTTCAATTTCCGCAGAGCGTTTTACCCAATTAACTAGATTTTGTTGCCTGTTTTGGCCATCGGATGAATGGACGATGTGGTGGTCGGGGGACGGTAGTCGGGAGCGCCAGCGGAAATGTTGTGGTCAGGCGACGATCAGAAGAGTTGACTCTGCTACCCTCGACCAGCCAGAGGACGAGCCAGAGGCACAAGTACAGTGAAGCTTATCTGTGGCCATGGACCTCTAGTGCCACTTTCAGGATAACTAATGTCGCTCATTCGCTGACTTCCACTGTGTATTTGTGGTCTTTGAAGTCCGGCGGCGGACACTACTCGTATTTCAATATTTTTGTTTTGTTGTTCTGTTCTGTTCTGTGGCCCGGACACCGAGAACTTTTGTTTATCTCTCGACACCGTCGCTAAGCATGCGACTCTCCCCGCTCCCCGCTCCCCGCTCTCCGCCTTCTCCGTTCTGCAGGGACAGCTTCTCTACGGGTTTCCCCAGCCATTTTCCACAGTCAATACAAATGGTTCTCCCGTAACCCATTCTCGGGGACTCCTCTCGTTCCGCTTTTGTTCTTTGTTCTTTGCTTTTTTCTGATTTCCGTTTTGTGTTTGGCTTCGCAGATGCAAGGGGACTCCTCGTCGAACCACTTGGCTCCATGGGGAACCCTCCTTTCTATGGTATCCCCGTACGCAGGTGCTTTGTTCGGACAGGACCTTGTTTTCTCTGGCGTTTCTTTTTTTTCAATTTCTCTGTGTGGCTTGTGGTTTCCTTTCCTTGCCTTGCCTTGTCAGTCTCTCCTCAAGCTCCGTTCCGGACCGAAGGCTGGCCCCCGGGTACGGGTCCGTTGTCGTCTTTTGTGCTGAATGTGTTCTACCCCCTCCTATTCCTCTGCTCCGTTGCACTGTGAGGCACCATCGCATCCTGCCTATGCATAATTCTTTTATCTCAACTCTGCTCCAATCTCTCGTTCCCCGTTTCGCGCTCCCCGTTGTACCCTCTTTACTATTGATGGCTTGTTTACAATGTGCCGCGCACACAACTCCCTGGCCATTTGTCTATAATTGACTAATCGACAGGGTAAAAAGGGAGCTGGAGATGGAGCAGAAGCAGAATCAGAAGCAGGAAGGGATGGAGCTGCAGTTGGAGTTGGAGTTGGAGATGGAGGAGCAGGAGGATCCCCAGGAGAAGCCGGACTCGGAGTTCGAGCTGCAGCAGTAGCTGGCGATGGGAGCGGAAAGTGTGTCACTGGCACCACTCACACTCACCGCAGTGGAGGCCGCCAGCTGGTGCTGAAGTGACAGCCGGATGTTGCCCCAAGCCCCGCACTAGGCGTGGGCTGCGGCTTTTCCAACATCCATTGTCTAGCAAAAACGGTAAAATGTGTAGCATAATTTGATCAAACAACACCATTATTGCTCTTAAAAATGTCCTTGCAGCGTGTATTCTTTAGGTTTATTGTAAGTTTCTGGCGGCTCTTGAGCGGAATCGACTACAGCCATGCAGTTACATATATTTAAAAGGGAACCCCCCACCCCAGAGCTGCCTCCTCCCTCCATCGCTCGGGTTAAAGCCACACTGGCGCTGATGCGGCTTTAAGCCTTCGCCCCAATCTGTGGCAGCTTAGCAGCCCCCAAAGAGCTGCTGTTGCTGCTGTTGCTGCTGCCAAAAGTCGAAAGCCACCCCACAAGCCCAGCCACTGGTGAGGGTGAATTGAATTAGCGTGGAATTCCGTTCTCAATTAAGCGTATAATTTCCATTGTGTGGCTCTCTGTGCATCTGTATGTGTGTGGGGCCCATTTCGATATGACCAGTGGCTGCAAATATTGGCCAGGTGTGTGTGTATGTGAGTGGGAGGTGAGGGGCTTGCGACGGGACTCGGCTGTGCGGTTAATTAGATTGCGAGTAATAATATTGCATGAGCCGGCATTCGGGCAACTGTAGCCATCAATGAGTGGGTAAGGAGAAGGGGAGAGCTGCCAGGGCCAAGCGTGTACTCAATCGTAAGGTAGGGTCGCATACACCACACACAGGCATGCCTTACCTTCTGCCTAATATGCCTTTGGGTGTAGCCAAGCCTCCTCGCAGTACAGTGCACACTTACATGTAATTAGCATTTCCTGTTTGGTTTGCCAATCTCTCACACACATATACATCCTCCCGATCCCACTCCCTCATACACACACACACACATGCGCGCACACATATAGGAAGGGTGGCCACTGGCATAATTAGACGAGTCAAAAATCAAACGCCATCTCCATTCAAATTCAAATTGAGATGAGAGCCCAGATTCAGATTCAGATTCCGATTCCGAGCTGCCAGTTGCCAGCTGTAGTTCCTGCAGTTGCAGTTGCAGTTCCACGGATGCAATGTAGAGGAGTGCATGGATGTGGACCGGACTCCAGGACCGACACAGAAAGAACTAAGCAAATATCTGTTGGCGCCGAGGCCCAGACTCAGGCCCAGGCCCAGGCACCTGCAAATACTAGTGGAATATATAGGCTACAGCTGAGGATGAATGATGATGCGGAAAAGCCTTTTCTTTCACTGAAAAAAAATCCACCGAAAACGTTCTGGGATCATACGCGCTTGATTTAGATCCCATGGAAGGTCTTCGCATGCCAATACTTTCCCAGGGTCGTAGGGATCCAGACTTTCGATCGGCATAAAAATATCAATTTCTACGTGCGTTTTCATTATTTGCAGACCGTATTTACTATCCACAAAAGATACTTCGAAACTGTTAACTTCTGAAATCCCAAAAGATACTTCAAATTTATTAAATCTTAAAATCCCTACAAGACACTTCGAAAATCGTTGCTTCTTTTATCCCCAAAAGATACTTCGAAATATGAAATATCCAATTGTGGCACAGAAGAACCAAATATGTATGTGCATAGAGCCATAGGCTATTACGAAATGGAGGTCGATTTTTGGCCATTTAATCATAAAAAAATGTAATCGCATGCCAAGCGATATACCGCTTAGAAAAAACCCAGTATTAATATTATTTTTATAGCCAAATGTTCGGGTGCGTTAGCCAAATAGAACCAGATAGCCGAAGGTCCTATTTTCTCAGGATCGCAAGGCTACAGACTGTCTATCGGATGTTCATATGTCATTGTTTCGGAATGTAACCACTGACCATGGTCTGGGGCATATTTATCCAAAGTTTACGGAAGATCCAGTCTTCAGTTTTCAGTCTGAAGAATCCACTCCGAGGCCCAATCGCTTAGATCTATGTAGATCATCTTTAACTGGGATACATAGCCACGTTACCAGAGGTCGCATTTTCCCGCAGTGTGCCAGCATCCGCCCTGGGGTTCTTTCGTCATACATGGAAATGTGGAAATTGTGGAAATGTGTGTTAACCAACAAATCAACCAAACTGACTGACCGCAGAGCATGCATTTTATGTGGTTTTTTGAGTTGTTAACGCCCCAGGACCAGAGCTCACATCCTCACACTTCCATCCATCCCCATCCCCATACCCATCCCCGCCATCCACCATTGCAGTCCTGGTGCCTGGGAGAATGCCCACCTGTGGGGATTGGCTGCTATGTAATTGCAGATTTTAATATTTAAGCCGCGGCTCTTTATCCCAGGATTTATGCGCATGCATTATAATGTCTGTTCACATTGCCATTCCATTTCAAACAGAGGAAAGAGCGATGCGGTGGGTGAAACTTTAATTAGTTTGTCAAATTTGCATGGAAATACGAGGGGACGAGAATCGTATAAAGATAGTCCTCCCCATGGATGTTGGCCTGTGCCCTTTGCACAAGTTTTTCTCGTATATTTTAATCCAATGTCCTATGCCTCTTGAGCGGAATGCAAAGTGTTAACCAACTTAACAATAAGTGTAACCTTATGGCCTCCCCATGCTCATCTGCCAGGGCAATCATAAACATCATCAGCAGCAGCAGTAGCAGCAGCAGCAACTCCATCTCCAGGGCGGCCATGTGGTGTATGTTTCCACCAGCCGAAAGGGGTACGAGTGCGGCGGTCCTGCAGTCCATAAACAGACTCCATAACAGCATTCAGGACCCATGGCCCATCTTCTCTCTTGGGTGTGCGTGCGCGTGTGTGTGGGTGTGTGTGTGTGTGTGTGTGCCATATAAATAAACATAATCGTGAAACAAGGCCAAGGAGGGCTCTGGAGGAATGAAGGAGTAGGCAACCCTAAATGCTGCGGAATTTTAATAGTTCACGTAAATGGTTTTTGTGGCGTTGGTAATGTTTATTAACCAACTTAGACTCGACGCAACGGAGAAAAGGACCTCCACGTTATGGTCCTGCTGCTGCACTGACAAAAAAAGATGCGCCTCCCAAAGAGTACAAAGAGATATTCGAGAAGATATACATATAACGAGTATGTATTTTCAATGGTTGGCGTTGCCTGAGATGCTTCATTTTGCCTGTTGCATACTCAACGAGTATCTGGTATCCTTTTCGCTCGGTGTTGGTGGCGGTGCTGCTGCTGCTGCTGCTGGTCCTCCAGTGGAGCGTGTTTAATGCTCACTTAAGTTGCGTTTATACAAATTTCTTCGCCTCTCGACTCCTGCTTTGGTCCGTCCCGGTCCCGGTCCCAGTCCCAGTCCCGGTCCCGGTCTCGGTCTAGGTCCTTCCATTTCCTGCTCCTTGGGCAACTTTTGTTAGTTGGCTCCATGGGCAGCCCCAAAGAAGTTTGTGTGCAGTGGCTTAAGGTATCCCAGCCACCCTCTCTGCCAAGTTGTGCGTAAGTGGATTCATTTATGCCCGAGAATAAATGCTTTGTTGTTTGCATTCCACGAAGTTTTGTGTCTCACGTCTTCGGCACGCTCTCCAGTCGCCTCTGCCGTGGATTCGCCTTGGACTGGGTCTGGGTCTGGGTCTGAGCTGGACGCAGTCAAGGTGCAGCCACTCAACTGGAAGAGGGAGATGAAGAGGGGGGGCAGAGGCAGCGCCTGGGGATAGGGCAAAGGGATAATCCCTTTCTTCCCCCAGTCAAAAACGAAACACCCATTGGGTTGGCTTTGGTTTTTTTTTGGAAATTTTATTCTTCAATCACTTTTCGTTTTCATATCAATTGTGTTATTAGCTACGCAAAAAAAATGAGTCAAGAAATGTTGGGGTTTTCCTTCACACGGTGTGATCCGATCTCCTTACATGGCTAAACAACTAACATTAGAGTACATTCCAGTGTGAATTACTAGGTATGTATGTATATAATATTATGTTTAATATGTATTGTGTATCTGTGTGTGTATGCATAGTAGAGTACTTTTAGTGGATGCAACATGGATGATGCGCATGCAACAGAATTTTTACACCGACTTCCACGCTCCAACAAATTGACTAAGCTGCTATTAAAAAAAAAACATACACACATACATGTGCATAGTATATAAAGTAAAAATACATAAGGAATCTGTACAGGTTAAAAAAACATAAAATACAATACAATACAATAAATGGATGGGAATAGGAATAGGAATAGGAAAGAATAATAATAATGGGATGGATATAAGGGGGGACAAACACCTCTCCTTTATCCTCTTTCCATATAGTTTTATCCGTTTCTTAGACGGCTTTATCCTTAGTTTAGGCATAGGTTTTATCTTAATGGTTTTCCGTTTAACAATTTTCCTATTTACAGTTTTACAACTCAAACTTTTGTTCTTGGTTTTCTCCCGTTCTCTTTCCATTTCGTTTTTCGTTCGCTTCTTTGCTTAGCATTTAGTGATATATGTATACGATTTTCTTTTCTTTTTATCGAAGAAGAAGAATAGGGGGCAGGCCTCCTTTTCCTATAAGGTGTGTGGCCCTTTAATTGCCTATACAACAACAATAATATCGATTCTATCCGAATGTGAAAACAAATTTTCATGAAATTCTTCATTTAATTATCAATAAACATCAGTCTTGAACTTAGTTTAGGTTTCTTTTTCTTTCTTTTCGCATAATTTTCCATCTGTATTTCTTCTGCTTCTGTTTTCTGTGGAACTCGTGAAATATCCTTAGAGTGGGCCAGGGGTCCTTTGTGACGTATCGTATGTGTGTGAGTGTGAAATCTCCAGAGAAAGGAAGGGGAATCCAGGGTTCCAGTGTTCCAGTGTTCCAGTGTTCCGGGGTTCCAGGGTTCCGGGTTTCCAGGGTGTTGAAGGCACAATTTCAAAAGTGTTTCGCTCCGCTCTCTTTCCATTACGAGTATAATGTATCTATAACTAAAACTAAACTTAGATCTGAGTCTGAGGGATAATGGAGGGGTCTTAGGATGAGCGAATGTGAGTGTGTGTGTGTGGGGCGGGGTGGGGGGACCCTTTCTATAATACAGAAATACAGATACAAGTTGAGCTCAAAACACAGAAGCGAGAGGACGGGTTCAGGAACGCAACATCAGCATCCAGCAATCGAATCTTTATCCGATATCCAATAGATGCGACCGATACGAGTATCTTCCCTCTATCTTTTCCTTAGACAAAGAACTCCTCGTTGCCCAGACTACTGTCGCCACCGGCGGCCTCGACGTACTGCGTTGCTTGCGGCATCCAGGGCCAGGACCAGCCGCCGCCATACCCGCCGCCGCCGAGGAGTCCGAATCACCGCTCCGTCGAGTGGGTGGTGGCTCCGAGGCCGCTGCTGCTGCCCGAGCCAGAGCCCAGGCCGCTGCGCCGGAAGAACCCAAGCGTGTCCAAGGCCTTAATGGTGCGCCGAATCAGCTCGTCCTTGTATTTCCAGATGGTCTTGTCCTCCACCGAGTTCTCGCGGTACTCCTCGCAGCTCTTCTTGAGCGTCTTCACGCAGTCGGCGCGATAGTGCTGCAGCTGGGCGTCCTGCGTGTCCACGGGATAGGACTTGCAGACGCCGCCCAGGCAGCTCAGCGGGAAATGGTTGTGGAGGGTGAGCACGCGCTCCGGGTCGTGGAAGCACTTGACGTACTGGTTGGGCTTCGTGTAGTTCTTGGCGCGATGCACATGCTGCAGCATGTGCATGTACTTGGGGATGTCCTTGTGCCAGCCGTGCTCGTGCTGCTGGTCGTCCAGGAAGTACACGTTCCGGAAGTTGTAGCTGTGGAAGCCGTCCGGCTTGATCTTCCGCGACTCGGGGCGCACCTTCTCCATCAGCTCCGACCAGAGGACCGCGTTGCCCTTGGGCATGATCACCTCGTCAATGTCCAGCAGGGCAATGTAGTCGTACAGATAGAGGTTCTTGTACAGGCAATCGTTGTAGGGTATCACCTCGTTCTGACGCTTGTGGTTGGTCTTCTTCGTGAGGTACAGATGCTGGAAGCCGGGGACGTTCGGCTGGCCGCCGGGCAGGGTCAGGGGGATGACCTGGACCTTGCCCTCCTGCTCGTAGTGGCTGAGGACCTTGGTGATGTTCGGGTGGACCTGCAGGTTGTAGAAGTAAATCTTGTCGGCCCCCAGGATGTTCAGCATCTCGATCCACTCGATGAGGCGCACACTCAGGTCGTCGTACAGGAAGTCCAGCCCCTTGACGCAGACGGCAAAGCCCTTCTTTTGGTCGTCGGGCGGACGGTTGTAGATCACCCGCAGATTGTTGGTCGCCGTGTCGCACTCCTTCTCCACCATCGACACGGAGCTGGGCACGACGCCGTGGAAGGGCTTCGGTATCTGGCAGGCGATCAGATACGGCTGGTAGATGCCCTGCTTGTAGTTGCCCCACTTGTTGTACCAGATGTACTTGTACTCGAACGTCTTCACGATGAACGGCTCCTTCTGGCCGTCGAACCAGAACTGGCAGTAGGTCTTCACCTTCGGCTCGATGCGGTCGATCATGCCCAGGATCCGCACCGTGGGCCCCAGCAGCGAGGTGCGCCGGATGTCGTAGTAGGCCCCGAACAGCTGGAAGGTCCCATTCGTTGTGCGCAGCGTCTGCCAGTAGATGTTGTTGAACTCCAGCTCGAAGATCGACGGATACTTGGCGCAGGTCGACGACTTCTGCTGCAGAAAGTTCTTGTTCTTGCTCCAGTAGGCAATCGGCAGCGAGGGTATCCGGGACTCCACGTCCCTCACGAGCTGATCATCGTCCATGGCTGCACAAAGATACGTATGAGAATGGAGATCCACGGCAATGGGTGATTGGGTGTTACTCTGTGGGCCTTACCTGTGCGATTGTCCACCAGTATCTCGCTGGGGTCGAAGTGGTCTGTCGTCGTGGACGTCGTCTCCGCGTACCGCATGTCCTTCTGCAGCAGTATCCGGCCGTTGAGCGGCACTTGCTGGTACTCCTGCGGCACTAGGTTCGTGCCGTGCATCTTGAACAGCCCAATGATCACGAACGACCACACGCAGAGCGAGAAGAGGATCTTCAGGATCACCTTGGAGTGGGCCATGGCGTCGGGTTCTTTTGCCTTTTGCCTCCCTTTTCGCTTACACTTTTCTGCGAGGCTTCACTGCAATGAGAAATGGGGCAAGAATTTGGCCATTAAATGGAGATTCTCTGGGAACTAAGTGGGGATCTATGTATATCCCCCCCTCCGATGGTCGTCACTCATCTTTAAATATGGCGTCGGCTATTTCCGCTTCCGTTTTGGTTTTTCCTGCCAACGCCCTGGGCGTTGACATATTTCTCCTCTCTTGAAGGCAGAGAAGCGAAAAGAGGAGCAGGAGCAGGAGTAGGTGTCTTTTTGCCTAATGGAAAACAATCTAAAAATGCCACAGAACGCTGTAGACCGCAGGAAGCCGGTGGCAGGTGGCAGGTGGCAGGCGGCAGGCGGCACAGTGGGCTTTGTGGCAGGAACAACTGGTGCCCAAAGGCAAGGACTACCAACAGAAGGAATTCTCCTGTGCATCCACCAATTAATCGCTGAATGGTTCCGTGCATTCATTCGATTTCTGCCCCCCAACCGGCTGTCATCCGTAGTTTACCCTTTAGATATTTCCGCTCTTATATTTTAGCACTCTGCTCTCTTCTGTGGCGTCTACTGTGCCCCAAGGCCAACATTTCATTTGCATTCCCTCCCTCTGGCTCTCCTTCCCCGTTGTATGTCCTTCTGCTTTGTGTGTCATTATGCCTGGCTTATGCCACCTCTGCCTAGACGATTACAAGCGGGCGGCACCCAGTGCCTCTGTCCGTGTCCGTGTCCGTGTCCGAGTCCGTGGCCCAAAGGACTCTGCGGCCACAGTTCAGGCAAAAATCTGTTTGCCTTTCTGCTGCGCCTAGTGCCTGTATCTTGTATTCTTGTGCGTGCGATGGGTGCGATTCCTCATCCAGCAGCAACACCAGCAACACCAGCCACAGCACTGTGTCTCTGGCGTTGGGGCTTTCGAATATTTATGACATGGAAGGGTAGTGCATCCTGCCTTCTTCCTTTGTCTGTGCTCTGTGTCCACTGTTCTGGGCCTTTCATTTTCTATCATTCAAGAATCCATCATTGGAGTATCCCTCATTCCCTATCTTTGCTCATTGTCTCCCAGCCTTGCCCACAGATGGAATGCCATTATCCATTATCCCTTATCCACTGCGGCCACTGATGACAGCGGGATACGAGTGCCACCACATCCTCCAAGAGAACCCTTTCCCGCGCTCCTCTCCGCTTTTTGAAGCAAATTGCATGTCCAGCTCATTTCCTTGCCACAAAGCTCCTTCTGCAGCCTCTGGTACCTTCTGTCTTCTGCCCTCCGCCCTCTACAAACACCATCCCCTCCCCCCTGCACCATCCTCCATCCTCCCTTCGCATTCAGATCGCTTTAGTTTGTTTTAGTTGAATCAAAAAGTTGTGTGTGCAACATTTGCCTGTGTGGCTGGCAGCCAGCAGCAAGCAGTCGAGAGTTTTTCCTCAAGTGTTTTCCATTTCATTTGCATGCGCCGCCAACTTTGGCACACACACGCACATGCACACGCACACAGAGGCAACAGAAACAACAGAGACACGAACTGAGATACACTCTTGCTGTGGCAGATGTTGCAACAAACAAACAACAAACAAGCTTTCAACCGAAAGGGTGAGAGTGTGCTGTGATGCCGCCGGGCTGTTGTTGCTGCACGTGAACTGTGCAGAGGAGGAGCGACTGGAGAGGGGGCCGGGGGACTGGTTGATTAACCCCCAAAAACTCTCTCGGCTTCATCTGATGAGGGAAAATCGGGTTCAAGGCACTTCGAGGCACTTGGAGTCTGCATGCTGGATCCGCCAGGGAGATGGATCATTTATCATCCGAGCAAGAGTCTTCGGCCTCCACTTCACGTACCTTCACGTTCTGGGCTTTAAAAATTCTAAGACTGAAGCCCCGAAAAACGATTTGGGTCAATTTGCCATTAAGATACGCGTCATGGCTATGCGATTATTTGCTTCTTAAAAGCCAGAACAACAGCCAAAGACAGAGCCAAAGACAGAGCCAAAGACGGAGCCACAGCCAGAGGCAGGGCCAAAGACAGGGGCAACTTCTCGTCGCTTGTTCTGGTAGTTGGCCGCCGCTGGTTGTTTGGCTCTTAATTTGCTAGGCAAAACAGGTTCGATCTGTGAATGCCGGGGCGGGTTTGTGTGTCGCACCCAGAGACGATCGAGTGGCAAGCGGTACACAAATTTTAATGATGCCTTGGCGGTGGTGCTGCTGCTGCTGCTCGGTATTCGCTATTGGGTGTTCGGTGGCTACCAAAATGGGTCAATGAGCCTCAATGACTTTTACAATGACTCCAGCGACAGAGCCAGAGGTAGAGGTAGAGGTGGAGGTAGAGTCTCTCCCCCCACCCCCCACCAAACAGCAATTAAACGGAAAACAGACCTCAAAGATTGATTTGGGATCTGGCGTTGGCTTTGGCTTTGGCTTTGGCTTGGGATTGGATTGGATCTCTTTCCCCCTCTGTCTTTCTCTGTTGGGGCTTCAGTTCAATGATCTATGGGTTCAGGCCAGCGAGCGTTAGAACGGATGGAATATCAAACGGGAATGTGCCACGCGCGGTGGACTACAGTTACAGATTGATTGGAAGACTTGATCGGAAACAGAGATCCCAGATCCGAGATGCAAGGAGCTCTTAATGGATACATCACAGCGATGTACATTCAAGATACTCTCAAAACCACTGCCAGAGAAAAGGCACAAGAAGATACTAACGTATCTCAGAGATACCTGGCCCGCCAGCCTTTCTGCTGTGAAGACCAGCCCACACTCTGTACGCCCCGACCATATCCCTTCTTCTGCTGATTCTATAATATTTGGGGATATCTGAGGAATATCCCATGCGATATAGCCCTCGCCGTCGGCCACAAACAGCAGCTAAGAATATCCATGAGATACTTGACTCCCGAGGAGGGTGAGTGTTTATCTGCGCGGCTCTTGCGGGCCTACGTAATATCTATAAATGCTGTCACATTCGGTTTACGATCATAACTCGTTTTTGTGGTGATTGTTTTTTGTGGCCCTCTGATTGATTTATGCTCGTGGCATAGAGAGAGAGAGAGATTCATTAGCATTCTATTTATAGACAGACGGGGACGTCTATTGTTGGAAGAGTGCACACTCGGCATACTACAGGTGGCACCGTCCGTCGGACAACTGCAAAGATGAGTCACCCAGAGAGGTAGCAGCATCGCAGTCGTTGGAAATCATCGTTAAATGCAAATCAGATACACATGTGTATCTATAGATGGGTGTCTGGGTCTGGGTCTGTGGCTGTGGCTGGGACTCTCCCCCCGAAGACGCCTCAAACTATTCATCCTCCATCCATCCGCTGGCCAAGACGTTGGGGCAGAGTCCGCCGAGTGCCCGAAGGCAGAGAGTGGAGCACAGACCTGGCTTGAAATTAAATTAAATGGAATGGGAGTAGAGTAAAGTAGAAAGAATCCAAATGAGTGCCGCAGCACAGCACAGCGCACAAAGTGGCACAAAGATCCGTTCGATTGCTCGCACATCACACTTCACACGTCACAGATACAGATACAGATACAGATACAGATACAGATACAGAGACAAATGTATCTGTGTGAAGACAAAGCCAACACCAACCCAAAACCAAACCAGGAAAAGTCGAACGAACGCATTTAAAATGCACGAGAAGACGCAAAGTGGCGCAAATGAACTTAAGTATCTTTCGTGTGCCTGTGTATCTTACAGATACGCTGCTGCTGCTGCTGCTGGCAGCATATGTATCCCTGTATCTGTATCTGTATCCGAATCTTCCGTTGCTGCCGCTGCGTGTGCGATTTTAATTCGCCTCACATCCTTTTATTTGCGTACGTGTGCGGCTGTGTTTCCGTGCCCCCAAAACACACACGAACAGTGCTGCTGCTGCAACACCACGTGGACCGGGGGATGGCTCCCCCTCCCCTTCCCTACCCGCCCCCACAACGATTGATAGCAAAATGATTTCTCAATATGTCGCCTAAGTTGATTTTCGGATGGCAAATGAAATTTTTGTGCTCCTGATGCTGCCGCTGCTCCTCCACCACGTTCTCGCCTCCCACAGATACATTTCGCAGACAAACACAGGCAAATTCTGAGAAAATTGAATTACAGATATTAAAGAAAATTATGGATGTACTCTGATGTATAGATCTATGGCAACGATAAGAAGCGCAACATTAACAGATACATAGATACTTCGCAAAGCGTGTTCACTGAAAAGATAGTTAAGTATCTGCCGAATTTATTCATTATTTGTGGAGAAACATGTGAAAATCTTAAGCAAATATTTGGCAGTTCTCAGACGATTTCGGATGCGCCCTCGTTCCAAGTATCTTTCACAGATATGTGCCATAAGTCAATAGGTGTCTTGTGTATCTTTCAACCTTGCAAATCTGCTCCCCAACGAGGCCCACCCCGGGGAGCACCGCACTGCTGTTAGATCGTACAAAAAGGTTGAGGAGACTCCATGCGAACCTCTCTATAAGAACGGTTTTCCCTGGCTAAAACTAAATCATTTGGGTGTCGTTCGGTGGCTTTTCCTCCGAGGGAATGGAGTACGTATCACTGTGCCACAGCGTGCCACTCGACACTATTTCTGAAGAATTTCTATCCATTTTTCTGGCTGCATTAAATTCTATTCCAACCAGCCATGCATTATCAGAGAACTTGTGCTCCCCTTGTTCCATTCCCGTCTGTTTCCACCACGTTCTATTCCCAAATGTTTCGGGCCGGGTTCTGGTCTGGCAGGCACGAACACTCGGCATATTGCCGAAAAAGAAACATTTAATTTCAATTACGAGGCAAACACCAAAAACTTGCGAATAATCACATGCACAAAATGTGTGTTCCACTGAATCGGATGCGATATCTAGATATAGGCGAGGCGGGTTCATGGCGAGGGGCTTAGGGTGGGGGGGGTTAAAGTGCTGCTGGCCTACCCATTAACCCCCACCCCCCCCACCCCATCGCAATTCGGGTCGTAATGCAAAAAGCACTCTGATTATTCGGATTATATTTTTCGCGTTGGGGCTATTTATGGCTTTAAGTGGTG